AAAGAATGGACACTTTTACCTGAACGTTTTCCTCTTACCTTATCTAATCAGACCTTCCCTTCGTAGAACGTCTAGATGTTCTTGTGTCGATGCCGAAAACGTCGCGGCGGATCTTGACAATCCAGCACGAGTGTCGGACACGGGGAACTATTTCCCGGCACGTCTGCGTCTCGCGGCGATTTGTTTCGCCGATTTACACGCGGTTGTGTCCCGGCGGCACCAGCGACGACGGAGGAGTCGGGCGATCGATGCCCGAACTCGACGTCTAATTTCGGAATCCGATACACGAATCAATAAGCGTGCCGCGCGGAAGCCGCGGCTTTGACGCGCGCTGATTGTTTGTGACAGGAACGTCACTCAAGCGAGTTACACTTATTTCTCACGCTGTCGCAATAATCGATACGTCGAAAACTGCGTTTCAATATTTAGACTCGCGAACGGAGGAGCCCGTAGCCCGCAGAATGCAGTCCGAGCTCACCGAGCCGAGAGATCGCGACTCTTTTTTCCCCTCTGATTCGCCGTGAGACATTAAGCGTGATCTGAGGATGTCGCGTCACGCGATCTTCCCGGTAAATTTTTTGGGAGAGACAACAATCGATTTATTTACCTCCATATCTCTGTCTCTCTCTCCCCATCTCTCTCTTTCTCTCCATGTGAATTCGCAATTTCGTCGAGGCGCGAGTCAACGCAAACGTTCGGCAGACGCTGATATTAAATCCCAGTCAAGAAAATGGTAAATAGTAATCTTTCAACCGTGACGTTTCTCAAAATATAATGGCGTCTTTATCCGCCACGAGACGCGGCAACCCAGTTTATCTCAAGCCAGTTTATCGCCCTGTGGCTCACGCGGAAATAGATTGATAGAAATAAATATATTCACGCGCTGCGCGTGGAAACGAATTCCAAAGGCTACGCGCGCTTCGCGTTCGCGTTCTTGCAACGTGAACGTATCTCGCGCGACGAAAGATCTTTATGTAGACAGAGAGGGAAAGAGAGAGAAAAGGGAGGCAGTGGAGGGGGAAGGGGAAGAGCGTAGAGGAAGAAATATCTCGTTGATTATTTTTGAATCTCAAGATTACGACATGAGCGGTATGTGGTCGCGGTAAAATTGAGATTACGTAAAGGCAGAAACGTTTACGGCCGTTTCGCGCAAATTCCAGCGATCCTCCGGCTGTACAGCGGCTGCTGCTCCACGGAGGATCGTCGCGGCCGCGCTCTCGACCGGCAAAAACGTCTGCGGAGCACCTCGCGAATTCACGCGCACGGCAATGGAAAGGTTTCGACCGCGTATCATCGGCCGGTCGCCACGGGCGTTTAGGCCTTTTGTCACGGCGGCACCGATTTGTTTCGTGGATTTACGGTCGGCGCGAGGCACGAGCCAAGGAGCCGAGCGACTCGGGGCGCGTTCTCCTCTCTCTCGGTCTCTCGCAGTCGCGGGTATAAGTTTAAATCGGGAATGGCGGGCCGGGAGGCCGTCATGCGGGAGGCGCGATGGTATTTTTATCGGGCTAAATATAGGTAAACCTCCTATACGGAACGCCATACCAGCGTCGCTCCTCGTCGCTCCGGTGTGTGCCGACGAGAACTGCGCGAGAAAGATAGACAGATAGATGGATGGATAGATAGATAAATAGATAGATAGGTAGATAAAAGGGGAGAGAAAGAGAGAGAGAGACCCCGAGATATAACTACTCGTTAACAGCCCGCGCCGCGTAACCGACTGACTCCAGATACACCCTGGGGTGTCCCGTGACCGCAAAGAAGCTTCCGATGAAAAAGAGAGGTGGGCGAGACCTCTTGATTAATACTTCATAAACGCACGGCTCTCTTTACCTCCGTCTCTTTCTCTTTCTCTTTCATTCTCTCTCTCCTCCCACGTGTAAATTCGTGCTGTGATCGCGGCGGTCGTAATCGCTCGTCGCATGCGATTGATCCGAAGGCAAACCCCACTGGTAGCGATGACGGTGTCTTAATCGATAAGATGTCAGTTAATAACGTCTTAAATCATTCCCGATGCGCGGACATTCGCATTTATCGTGGGAAATCGACGGCCAGAGACACGTCCTTTATCGGAGATCTCAAAAAGAACAGAGAAATGGAGGAAGACGGATAGAGATAGAGACAGACAGGGGGAGAGAGAGAGAGAGAATTATTTATCAGAAAGAGACAGCAAGTGAGAGACGCACACGTGGAAATTGACCTAGCACTTCGCACGGCATTTCAATTAACGACGACCGTGACAACGGTCGTGAAACGTCACTCGGAATGCGACACTTCTGGTTTGTACACGGGAGACGCGTTCGACTGACGCGCGCGTTGCAAGTCAGTTCTCAACGAAAGTCAGGTGTCTCGCGGAATGCGAGAGAGATACGGGACCGTCGTGTGTCTGGAGCAGGCGAAGCGAATCGACGACACGACGCGCTCGCGAGCGTTCGTTATAATTCGCGATAAATCATACAAACGCCGTATTTCTGCGCGAAACCGGAGTAGGTGCGCGCGCGCCCATTCGAACGATATCGAAACTGGAACTCGAAGTCGCGCTTCACGATTATCGCGAAACGCGATGAGACAAATACACAATAAACACACACGCGCGCTCGCACGTTGACGCGCGAGGGGCTCCGAAAATGAGCCGAGTTCCGATCGATCGATCGCGGTGTTATCGGCCATCGTAGCCTCCGTGCGGTACTTTGTTAATAGCGCTCGTCGTTGTTTACACCAATCGTTCGTATTGCGGCGATAACGCGGCCAGATTTTTCGGACGAGCGCTCTTGCCTCCTCCTAGCGCGGTCCGCTAAAAGCGGACCGTACAATATAATCGTACTACCATAGGGCGGTGTCCCATGACCACAAAGAGCTTCCGCAGAGGGAGATGGAGGGAATGTAATTTGAATTCGATTCGGGGGCGAATCACGCGCGCGGCGCGCGCTCGGAGTAAAGCTCCACCGCCGCCGCCGCCGCCGCCGCTCTGGTCGACACAGATTCGTGTAAAAACTCCTGTTCCACCGGCGTGCTCCCTCTTTCTCTACATCTGCGGGACACCCGCACTCACTCGCACGTTCGTTCGCGTGCGCTCTACATATTGCTTCTCCGGAATATCACCGCACGCGCGCGTACTGCTAAAATATAGCCGTCCGATCCTCGTCCCCGCGCGGATATTGAGAACGAAATCCATGTATCGGGCGCGATATATCGCTCTCCCTTTGTTTCTCTCTCTCTCTCCCTCCCTCTCTCTCTCTCTCTCTCTCTCTCTCTCTCTCTCTCTCTCTCTCCTCTTCCCCTTCTTCCCGCACGTGCTCAAAATTAGATAAATCTCAAAGTCGCATTACGCTTCCGGTAATTGCACGAGAGAAGCGTAGGTTGTTAATTATTACCATAGCGAGAGTACACGAGAGCGATTCTACTTTTGATGTTCACGTCGTACCACCGAAGAGAAGTCGTATCGCGTGTGGCCGACTCCACCCTCCAGTGTCGGCATCCACGGGATATGTCGAAAGGGTCGAGAGAGATTTGCTTCTCGCCGTCGCGCGCGCGCGGCCTGTCGACCTCGGCAGAGAGGCCGGGAAGAATGCGACCTTCCAGGAAACACCGATCGTGCCTGGTTGGGTGGGCCAGGTGTTACCCAGCCGTGGCGACGTTTGTCGCCGTCGTACCTGCTTCGTTGGACGCGACGAAAGGTCATACAGCGCGCCGCGCGAGCTGCATCTACATTCATTTATTCATCCACGCGATGTTTACCGTTTCCTCTCTCTTTCTCTCTCCCTCTCTCTCTCGTGTTTACGTTCGCGCCCGCGGTCTCCACGTGCTAAACAAACATATTAATTGCGCGCCTCCAGCTCGAGCAACGTCGACAGGCGCGGACCGAGTCGAACGGAGAACGATGATTGGTTGCGAGTCTGAAAATAATCCGGCAGCTTTCTGTCGCGATACAGACTGCCACTGGAGACTCTATAATAAGAGTCACGAACGTTCCCGATTTTGACTGGTGCCGCTATGTTTGTAAACTAACTAGTAGATATAATACAACTGTAAGGCCGTTTGACGCTGCAAATGCTTTGAAAAAGCTAATACTGTGTGTGTGTGTGTGTGTGTGTGTATGTGTGAGAGAGAGAGAGAGAGAGTAAAAAAGAGATTAACTAATAACGAATTCATAAACAATGTCTAGTTGTTTGTTCTGCACTAAATTACAGTAATTTTGTGAAAAAAAAGTTATGTTATGAAAGTATTTTTCCATGATGAAAGAAAGAAAAGCGAAATGGGCAGCAAGTGTTGGACGAAAAATTAGAGCCCAACCAACACTTCGTGTCTGTGCAAAATTATTTCTTGACACTGATTTTTTCTCATTTTTTTAAATAAAATTGTATATTTATTTATTTATCATCAAATATAAGCCTATTTTCAAGCATTAATATGTGAAAAACAGTTGATGGTCGTCGAAATATGAAATATTTCAATACGGAATATTAAAATATGACGCAGCGCCAACAACTTTTTGGATTTTATTCTAAAGAAACAAAATAAAAAAATGGAAATATTTAATAAATATGCCATATTTAGATGTAAGATCGCGTATAAAGAACCAAAGAAACATTTTGATAGCAAAATTATGGCAACGTATAATATCTAAGAAAAAAATCAAAGTTAATGTTTCATCCATGTTATTTATATTTTTTATTTCAAATACCATAATTTAAAATTAAGTTTCCTGCTATGGCTATTTTCGATTTTAGCCAAAACATGGCACCATCGACCTAATCTCGTTATTTCGTGACTCTGATTGAAAAGTCACTAATCGCCGCGAAACGCGCGCGTCGTGACGGCGAAGGAGGGGAATTTGCTCGTGAACTTAGTCGCGAATACGCTCCACGATTCACGAGAGAGTGTAATTAGATTCTCCCCGATTCTCTTTTCGGGTCGTACCCGCCACTCGTCGATCGCATCGATGCGCGCGACACCACGACTTTGACAATCGACGTGTGAATATTTGATTTTTGTTTAAGGCTTGTTTCCTCTCGACGAAAAACTGCAACAAATCATCGCCACCGGTGTCGCCGACACGGTCACGTTCCTAGAATTCCTCACGACGCTTCTGCCACGACCTCGTCTGCGTGCCGGCCGTCCCGAGACTTTAATTTTGGATTAGAAGCGCGAGAGGATAAAGCGCGGGAATGAAACGCTCAGCTCGGAAAGATTACGAAAGAAAGAGAATCTCTTTCGATTGCGGGTCTTATTTTGCGCTCTCGCGCGAAACCCGAGGCGAGGAGGTTATTCTCCCTCTCGCTCGATTATATTTGCGCCTCTGTGTTGCAAATAATATCGCCGGATCTTACGTAAAGTTTTTCAGTTTATGACACATCGCGTTGGAAACGCGCACCGCGAGAAATTCGCACGACGATGACGAATCGACGTCGCTGCTGCCCAACGACTCGAGACTCAAAGTTTATTTTTTACGCGCAATTGAGATACAAAAGTAGTCGGTCTCTCTACTGCTAAATTAACGACACGTGAATATAATGCGCATAAATTATGCGTCGCATTAATAATACCGTCCCAAGTAGAAAATCCCTTGGGATTTATTTGGCTTTCAATCCGACTCCCTCAAATTAATTATGCGGGTTTTCTCTATAGTGTCTTCAGAAATGTCAACACGCAACTCCAAGTGGGAAAACGTAAAGCTTCCTCAATATTTTTTCCCTAATCCTCATTATATACATTAAGATTGAATAAAACATATTGCCTCTCAAAAGTAATTCCATCATTCAATAAAACACTCAAAGTGTTTAGAAAATACATATTTTTAATAATTTTTATTATTTTTTAAGTATTATTTTTAAGTATAAATATAACATAAAAATGGAATTTTCAGTTTAATATCATCAAAGCAATAAAAGTATGCCAACGTTAACGGCTGAAAAAAAGCGCAAATTCCCATAGTATTTCTGTCTCGACTCTAGATAGAGAGCCATGCTTGGGACAAGGATTCTCCCAATTGGTCTCGTAATAACAAATGCTGGGATTTGAGTATTCCAATCGGCATTTATGCTATATCTGGCGGAATCTAAGGAAATTTCTATGCAGGGTGATTTGCGTGTCGCGTGACTATTGGCGCGGGCGCGCGCCATGCAATTTTACGTATCATAATGACGACTTCCTCGGTGCCGATGTACAAGATACAGGCGGTCAATACGCCGTAATGAAATATCGACATTTTGCATCGACATTTTTCGCAAACGCTAATAACGGCGCTGTACCTTTGCGCGGCACAGTCGTCGATAACACTCGGTGTCGGAGAAAGGATGAGGATAATTACAGACGTCTAATTGCCGTCGCTCGCGGCGACCCGCGGAGGACGCGTCGACGGCGAGTCCGCACGATCGTCGAAATTACAGAAAGAAACGATAAAGCGGCCGTGTTATTACATTTTCCGCGTGGCTGTAGATACGATGTGCGCGCGAAATGTCTCGAATTACGTCGCGGCCAGTCGTAATCGGGACTCGCTATCGCGGCTTGTCCGTGATTTCAGAATGGTTCTCCGGAATTACTGCTTCCGGCCGTCCGACAGTTGTCGAATGTAACGCGAGCAGCTTTCGAAGGAGGAGATAAAAACAAAACTAGGGAGATAGAAACATAGAGAGAAATTCGTAAGAGCAGAGGAACGCGTTCGGAAGCTGAAGAGGATTAGGCAGCGCGGTGTCGAAATAGTCACGACAAACGTGACATAATCGGTGTCTGGAACTAGTCGTCTCGTCGTCGTCGTTGTCAAAAAAAGTCCTCTGTCAGAAACAAATTATCAGAACAAGAGCACGTTTGCTGTTTAACTATCGTCAATGAAACAAATCGAACAGTAAAGCTCGATCTACAATGTGTTATTTGCTTCTTGTTTCTTTTTCTTTATCTTTTTCTGACTCACACCTTATCTATAATGTGTTATTTGCCTCCTGTTATTTTTTTCTTTATCTCTTTCTGATTCAAACCTTAAATTAAAAAAAGACAGAAAACAAGAAACAGGAAGCAAAGAACACATTGTAGATCAGGCTTTAAGCCTTACACTAAAACAAGACAGAAAACAAGAAACAGAAAACAAAGAACACATTGTAGATTAAACTTAAGGACTATCGTACACAAAATAGCTGCATGTGCATAACATAAGATCATCTCAAGCAATGAGCATGTTCTGCAAATCAATATGGCAACTTTTTCTTAAATGTTCATTGGTCAAGGCTACGACCTAAGGGCCATCGCACACAAAATGACAGTTGCATATGTATAGCATAATTTAGAGAAAAGTTGTCATATTGATTTCTAAAACATGCTCATTGATTGAGACAGTCTTGTGTTTATCTGGCTTATCCTCGCAAATAATTTCATATCACTTGTCACTTTAGCAAACATATATTGTCTGAGACACAAATCATATTTGTCTTCGTCTATTTAGATTGAATTTTAGGCTAGATTAGTTATATCTTCATTACAAAATGCTGTTACATAAAACAGCAAATTGAAAGTAACAAACCATTTATTCCCTCTATGTTGAGAAGAAAAATATCTAAGAAATAGTGAATATTTATTCAGTGAGTATATCATAACAGCATATTTACTTATATTCATATAAAATTTTTCAAATAAGAAAATACACATTTCCTGAACATCTTAAGCAAAATCTTAATTTTTATCATAAAATACTATTACTTATTCCATTTAAATAAAAGAATTTAGATTTAAGCAAATGTGCTACTAATGCCCATAAATATTTCGCAATTTTTAGGTATTTTTCTCTCAATGTACGATGTGTCATTTACTGTTCCGTCTCGACCAATCATTTGTCGCGGGTACTGGCATTTTGTTAAATTAGCGAAACTTTTTCCTCTCTCTCGGTGCGCGATTCGCCGCCGGCAGATTTCTTGCTCGTCATACCGGATTTCCAGACAGCCAGCCGCGATGTCAAGATCGGAGACGGCGAAGAGACGAAGACGACGGCCACTTACAATCTGCCGAGCCGATCGGCGGCCCGGATGTTCCGTTATCCGGCGACGTGGTCCGAGTGTCTCGGCGTTTCTTTCGCCGATATTACTATGCGATATTGCCGGTGCGGCGCTGTGTACCGCGCGGACCGCCGCGGAGATAAGATCTCGTCTCGCGGGAGGCTTTCGTCCGACGCCAGCTGACTCGTGCGAGAATCGCGAATCGAATCCGGCGACGACCGGCTGGAAATCGCCGCCGCGTACGCGCCAAATACGGAACTGGGTTAGCAGCCGCATCGCGTCTCTCTCTCTCTCTCTCTCTCTCTCTCTCTCTCTCTCTCTCTCTCTCTCTCTCCCCCCCTCGCCGCTGCTCTTGCTCTACTCGTGCACGCCTGTCCGAAACGAAATCTCTGAAATTCCGCAGTAGCCGTAAAAGTATGCAGTAAGCTAATTGATCAATGGGACTCTGAGGTCGGTAACACACGAGAAACGTATGCAGTAAGGAAGGAAATTAACCAAACGCGATGATTCTTCTTCAACAATAATTGATTGTGACTGATCAATTTTCTTACTGCTTTAACCACTCTGCCCCAAGTCAGACGCGGGGTAACGTTTTCTTTCATAATTTAATAATCAGACGTCATATTAACATGAACTAAAGTGGAAATTAAAATTAAAGAACTGTACTTTCCAGTAATTAATCGTACTAATGGTAAAGATTATTTTTTACAAATTTGTGCTCATCTAAACATTGTAAAAAGAAAATTTTTTGAAACTTGCAAAAAGATGCAGAAAGCAATCTCCAGTTACGTGTATTAAATAAGAATGATAGTTTTCAAAGATACGGATGCCAAAAACTTGTAGCTGTCTGAAAAAAATATTTATATAACCTGATGTACAATTTTTTCAAAATTCTGCGACAATTTTACCAAATTTAAATAGTAATTTCAAGTTACTATCAATAATTACAATTTTTATATTACTGTAATTTATAGTAAAAACATATTTCTTTAGCACAGACAGTGCATCCTTAAAAACTCATCGACATTGAGGTTTCACGTAAATAAATACAATATTTCAAGATTTACTTTTAGGTCCGCCATTTCGCATTCGCTATTTTGAATTTTGTGAAACTAACCAAAAGAAATAAATCTAACAGTAAGTCCTCTCTTTTGCGGAAAAAATTGAACTATTTTGGTGCTGATTTCGGGAAGGAAATGCAAGCGTAGAATGGTTAAGTTTTACTGCTTGAATTTCTCTGTGTGGTTCTCACAATCCACGAATAATCGACTGTGGCCTGTTTGCTTACTGCTCACGTCTTACTGCATACTCTTACGCCTATTGTAGGACCGGCTTATTGCGCTCATCGAGTCGATCGCACGGCGATTACCGCGAGTAACCCGGGGAGTTGCCGCGCGCGAAATGCAACTCGTGCACGCTTCCGCGCCTACCAACTCGCTTGGACGAATGCGAGGAGAATGAGAGTAAAAAAAAAAGGTGATCCGCTCTACTTCGTCCTGCTCTGCGAGCGCGAGACGCGCGTTGCACATTGAGCAACGATACGGAGAAATCGTCATCGGTGATTTGAGCCGTATGCTGATATCACTTCAGTAGCGTGCGTTTTTACCTTACTTCAGGCGCCATCCACTCACTGTGGATGCACACACGGCGCTACAGATGCCTTACTGTCTCCTAGATCGAAAGTGACACGATTTTCGATCTCACACACAACGCTTGGGATAAAAAATCGCATAAGTAGCTCTGATTACAATGCACTGAGAGAAAAATGTTTGATATTTGTAACCACAATCAATAGAAAAGTAATTATATACTATAAATTATAGTCAAGACAATCATTTTTTAGTCAATTGCACTATAATTTTAGTACTGTAATTTTAGTAATAATAATTTTATACCCATGTTATTACTACTATCTAACAATCAAAATATATAATTTAGATTCCAACCACTTTTTGTTTGTTCTAACGAAGATAATAATAATAACATGCACATAACATTATTATCACTAACAATTATAGTACAATTGACTAAAAAATGTCATAATTTATAGTAATTATTTCTCTGTATGATTATAGTTACAAATACCAAACATTTTCCCCTCAGTGTGGCTTTGATTATGCTGGTTTCAACCTTATGCATAAGGTCGAAAATTGCATAATTCTCAATCTAAAGAATGCTAGAGTAGATATGATGCCGTTTGTATGTTCTGCCAAGATATATGTTTGTTTTCTCGAATATATAATATAAACAATAGATTATGAACGTTATAAAAAACTATATATCTTTGACTAGTGATACATACATTTTGTATTACATTTTGAACACACAAAATATATTATAGAAAAATATTTCGTATTTGTATTGAAATCGATCCGTGTGGAAATTTTCGTGTTGAATTTTTAACAAACCCGCGTGCGTCAATTTAATATTGTCGTTGCGTTGTTTAGACTATTTTGCACGATGTTTATATATTCATCATCTCTGTTAAAATAACACAATTTATACGTAAATGTACAGATGCTTAGTGATACATTTTGTACATAAAATGCGCGGATAAGCTGTGTTATGTGTTTGCCCCAATAATTTGAATATACGAATATATGCTGAATTTTTTGAATATACGAATATATGCTGAATTTTTTGAATATATGTTACGAATATATGTTGAATTTCTTAAGGTATAACTCTCAAGTTACACCTGTAGCCTAATAACCACACGCCTAATGAAGGAATATTCCTTCGTCGTTCGTACGCGGCATCGGTCCGCGATGAAAAGTGCTCTTGTCGCCGAGTTCTGATTCTTATTCGACTGCTATAATTATTCGGAGGACAGAGTGAGATTTGAAGGTATCATTGCAAGTGTGTCCAGATACATCGGACAAGTACCTTTCAGGGTCATCCTTTTTTTAAGGTAAAAGCTCACGAGCGATTTTTGCGAGGGCTCGCCGTTTCTCGGGTTAATCTGGCGAGCGGGGAAATGTTTCGAGCATGATTGAACAGGACTGCCGACGAGAATCGCTCGATCGTCATAAATTCGACACGAGCCGGCATCCGATGCAGTCGCGGCGCGACGTTTATTTTACGCGGGCGCGCGCACATCCCCTATCGCCTGGTCGACACGAAAATCGACATGTTCCGCGTGCACGCGAGCGCGGCAGACGCGACAATAAAAATAGAATGCTCGTACAAAAGCGTCCTAAGTGCGAGAGCGCAACGTTCACCTCTTCTCTCTCTCTCTCTCTCTCTCTCTCCCTGTCTCTATCTCTCACACCGTCTCGCCTTCGCAAAGGAGAGCCGGCGTAAAAACGCGGCCTTGCCCGGCACGCGGTACATGCGAACTCACCCATGTGAGGCAGGGTGAGTCACTTGAAGCCACTTCGCGAAGAGTAAGAGAAGAGGGAGGGAAGAGGAAAGAGAGAGAGAGAGAAAGACAAAGAGAGAGAGAAAGAGAAAAAGTGCGTGTGCGTTTGTACGTGCGTGGGTGCATGAACGCGTGCGTGAGAGCGCGCACGGCAAAGAGAGAGAAGGAGAGTAATTTGTTCCGAGAATACTCCCCGATGAACAGACGCATTATGCGTAGATTCGTAAATGATACGGTGTGATAAAATATAAGATAGTGTATTTAATTAATGAGTCAGAGGTGCGGAGTCATTTATCAAGTGGAGCATGAGCGGAGGGGCGCGCGCGAGTATCGAATTAAATATCGATTAATCACATTAAATAGCGTGTACAAACTCGGGAAACGCGCGCGCGAAGGCGACGCAATATTCCTTCACCTCGCGAAATATTCAACGAGACGGGACGTCGGAATCTTCCCAAGTTCCCGAGGACTCACTCTCTCTCTCTTTCACACATCACACTCGGATGATGTCATGAAAACGGGTCGCGACTCCGCAAATAAAAACGATTCGACCAATAAAGTCTTCGATAGTCGACAATGAAGCGCAAACGGGAATCCCTAGTTTTTCGAAATCACCTCGCCGCGTTTCCAAACGAAGAAACTGTCTCTTAAAACCACCGAATGAATATGAGTAGAACGAGACGCGCGTGGGTGTCTCCTAAAATGCATCCCTCCTAATTCGGACGCTTGAAAATCGACCTTTAAGCAAGGTGACATCGACTCAGACACCTTTTTCTCAAACCGCACGCTTGGGATCCCTTTCTACGAAGGGACGAGAAAGAGAGCGAGAACATGGCCGAACGACTCGGGGAAACGGAGACAAGACGAGACGGAGAATCGAGGAGGAAGAGAGACACGAGAATACACCAGGACGAGGGAACGAGTGACGAGGAAGGCTCGCAGAGGAACTATCGGCGTCACCGCTTCCCCGACCTCGAGGTCGCGGCCGACGTCCCAGAGTCGCTTCCGGGAGAACAGTGCGCGTGATGTGGAGGAAGGTGCGTCGCAGGGAGACCGCCTTGCCGGCACAGGACGACGAACTCGGCGGTGCAGAAGCGGCAGCGGCGGCGGCGGCGGTGGCGGCGGCAGTGCTGCGCTCGTTCGCTACGCGCTGCACCGCACTGCACTGCGCTGCGCTGCGCGTTGCATCGCGCTGCGCTGCATCGCATTGCAGCGCGGATCGCGTCGCCGCCGTTGCCGCCGTCGCACGCGCTCTCTCTTTCTCTCTCTCTTTCTCTCTACGCGCTCTCGTCCTCCTGGTCGACGACTCGCGACTGCGCCGTTATAACTGCGGCTTGCGGTCGGAAACACGTGGGAACCCGAGGGAGAGGAGGTTCCTCCGCTTTGTATGTATCAGCGGGTACGAACGAACGACGAACGAACGAACGAATGCGCGCGCGAATGCATGTGTGTCGGTGTGTTGCATGGTGTGCGCAACGTCCCGTGGGAATCCATACCCCTGCGCAGAGCGAGAGAAAGAGGAAGAGAGGAGAGGAACGACGAAGAGCGGCACAAAAGCGGTATCCACCGACTGTGTGGAAGCACCCTCTTCTTCCCCCGCCCGGATAAATCCCTTCTTCCGTGTTTTTCCTCCTACGCCGCCCCGGGGACGCCGTTTTACGAGGCTACGTGAAAATCGCCGCCCTTTAATCGCGCGCATTCCAACGATCGGCCGTGCGCGATCGTCCCCGACTGCGAGGATCGAATTCTTTCTTGCCTGGCTCTCTCTCTCTCTTTTGCCTAAGAAGAAAGAGAGAGGGAGAGAGAGAAAGAGCAAAGACGACCGACGTTTGCGGAGGATTCGAAAATCCTCGACGTTTCTTGTCTCCCCTGCCTCTAGGGCTAGGGTCGGCTTTCTCTTTCTTTCTCTCTGTTCTTCCAGTTGATCGCGCTTTGAGCTTTGGTGGCGAGGAAAGAA